AATAGTGGGTCTTGCTCACCGGAAAACAATGTATCTCACGAGGCGTTTCAAACTTATCTGCTCCCGTCAGATAGTGATAGCGGGCATCGAACCCGAGTCTATTAGGATGTTGGCTTAAATTTCTACCCCTTTAGTCACCCAGTCACGACGGGCAACCGTTGTCACAACGGTTAATGGAAGAATGCTTCAAAAGTCCCCGCCAGTGCCATATTATTCTCATAAATTGCACTGAATGCACTACAGCTTGGACTGGATGATACACGAAGCGTCTAGGTCACAAAGCTTAGTTCGACTCAGCCATGAGGTAGTTTTATTACAAACCATTACATGGCACAGGTTAAAGGACATTCGCATCAAAAATTATGGAATCTACCGATAAGAGATGATAGATTGGACCAAAAAGAGGTTGCCGTGTAATTACTAATCAAGTGCAGACTGCTACTGAGACGTGCTTGTCTGTGTAACATTACATGGTAAATGTTCGATATCGAGAATTGAGCCCGGGTACACCTTTCGGTGTTTAGGTACATCTTTCGTTAAGGATACTTGAGTAGTGTGTACTTAAAATGACAGCGCAAGTTGGGGACCAATACATTTAACAAAATTGCCCAGTGAATACGCTACCGATGTCACGGACATCTTCGGTTTTACCCGTTCCCAAAATCGCACTTCACAATTTATTTCGTCCATGGCTGGACTGTTGAGGCAGATGTAACCCGAGATTGGAACAGAACAGCTCAATGCCTTGGCTCCCTACCAATGACTGCGTGCTACTCGAACAATACGTATCGCAGCTAGTAGAGTGTGCATTACAAATGAGTCACGGAAGAGCAAAACGCCGTTCAGTTCTTGTCTTGATGCACGATGCCCCTCCGACCTTTTGTCACGACTGTTAGAAGCCCATGCTTGTGTTCTAATTCTTGCCAGTAACTTACGAACCTGGTAGTTTAACCTCCGCTGCGGAAAAACACCGCACGGCCGTCTCACCCTATTGGGGCTCTTCAGTGTTGCACAGTCCTGAAGAGGACCAAACTCATGACCGCTAGCAGCCTGTACCAACTAGCCATCAGCTTATGTCCCTGATCCATGAGGAATGATGGTAGATCGCTATAAGTTGCAAGCTAATTGGAATATAGCGCAACCTATCCTCCTATTCATTAGTAATACTGGGGTTCCTACTGTGCTTGACGACACAGGAATACAATTCCTGGTTTACAATGTGATTGCCTACCACTGTCCGAAGACGCAGTGGACACTCAAGGAACTTACTTTTCATGGTATGAAGGCCGACGGTAGTGCTCGCTGAATGCTGACGGTTATGGCATTTAGTAATATCTTTCCAACTCACAGATTATGTCCATGCTTAAATCAGAAGTCCGGTTAGCAAAGAGATCTTCTCTCAAGCATCCTCATCGGGTGACTGCAATTATGTGAAAGAATTGATCAAGGCGGGATGCCTCTGAAAGCTGGGTTGAAGGCCGCTGCCGTTTGAACGATACCGTAAAGTGAATCAATAGTTGGGTCTGTTCACTGGGGACAGGCTTCGTAGTCGAACTTGCGCTATCAGTGAAAGTGAGGAATTGCCGCGGTGCCAAGGCAAAAGGAGGGCTTGTACGGGAGCCTTCTGCTTGCTCAATTCAGGCTGAATCAGACTGAGAGTGATTGGCTCAGTCGTCTTTAACAGAAGCTTTCTGAGTGCTTCAGGATAACTTAGCTGCATAGAGGATAAAAGTTTAAACGAATGTTCCATCCGGATTTTATGTTCGCTTAGGAGTAAATGTTACTTGCTAGTGGTGCACGGTTAGCCATGCATCTTTGTAACGACCCTGGGTAGTGTTTGCACCCCTTTCTGACAAACACTTGGTCGTGTATTCAAGGTAGCGTGCACCGAAGAGGAAAGTAAGTTGGTACAAAATGTAGAAATTGGAATGGATCGTGAGTCCGTTCTTGAGACATTGCGTAACAAAGAGTGCAGCTTCTACAAGCACACGTGGGTGGGCGACCGGGTACGGTTGGTCACTGCGACCAAAAGTCTACTCAGCATTCCCTTTGAATGGAACTGAGAGGAGCACGTCATTTTTGTACGTCCGCTATACACAACGAAAGTAGAGGGGATAAAACTTTGAGTGTCAGTTGAACTCGAGATTACCTAGTAGGGAGATACCGAATACTAGTCCCATCCATATCTGTGGTGCGTTCATAAGTATGTATATTTTAACCAGTGGGCCAAGTTTTGTCATCTCCGGTAGAAGCATATCAGTAGAGGATACTGGGGTTTCACTGCCGTATGAGTATAAAACAACGTAGACAAACCTCTTATAAGGAGCACGACAACGGGGGTGAAGTGAGACGAAAGATAAAACTCAAATGCTTCAAGTGAATTAATAAGACCAAGGCATCACATTGGGACAAAGGGGCTGGACATCACATGAGCGGGATGATTTGCTTGCGGATTTAATCGCCCATCATCCTGATCAACATATACTCATAGTTTAGCAGTTTTTTTAGAATTTACACAGACAAGTCAACTAAAAAGTTTCGGCTTTGAAGCATGCCCAGAAATGTTCCGAGTCAAACAAGGAACGAGTTTTCTGGGTTAAATCTGGAGAGTACGATACAATGTATAGCTTACGTTTCAGCAATCGGTGACTTCAGTTTCCGCTGCCATACCAATAGCTGTTCGCTTCGAATCCTATGCCATTCCACATCAGACAAACTAAAGAATTCGCCATTGATTAGTAGTGAATGTGATGAGAGGCGGATTTAGGTAAGGAGACAGGCAGATGACTGATTGCCTACGCTTCTCTGTGTCTATGCTGATTGTTTAATATTTGCCTGCACTGGAGTGAGTTTATTTGATCGTAGCGAGGGAAGAATCACACGAATGCATAAGTGTTGTCAGTTATGGAAGTGGCCTTGTTATATGTAGCAAGACTCTTGCAGTGTAGTTATACTGTCATTTTTGTTGTGATTGATCTGCCGAATAAATTGTTTGTCCCCGTAGGACCGAGTTTTACTAAAGGGAAGTGGAATGCGTTACATGTGCTGGAATCAAAGTAACTTAGTCTTGAAGCATATATATATATATATATATATATATATATATATAGTAGATGTTGCCCGCCCGAACAACGGTTAATGATTGATTCTGAGGGTCATTTTAAAGTGCGCGTTGTGTGGATGGATTGCGACACGCAATCTAAATGTTGACCGCGATTCCAATTGAAGTGAACCTTGGTCTTTCGATCACGAGGACCGTAGCTGATGCAAATGGAAATTGGGTGTTGCCCGCCCGAAAGCACTGCACTTCATGACGCGTTTCGATCTTATTTTATCAGATACAGAAGACAAACACTGGGCTATTAGCTGAAGCATCTGCCACTTTAGCCACCGAGTCATGAAGGGCAACACTTGACACGACGGTTAATGAGGGATTGGAGGGTTATTTTAAAATACTCGTTATGTGATGGGATTGCGACGTGCAATCTCAGTGTGGGCGGCAATTCCCACTAGTTGAATATTGGTCGTTTCGACCACTGCGATCGTAACTGAAGAAGGTGGAAATTGATTAGGTTCTTGTAGAAACGAAGAAAGGGAGGGAGTTTCTCCAAACCTGGTTGTCAAGATAAAAGGAAAGACACCAGCAGTGCCGCAGTACATCGTACAGACACTTCGCTGCCACGCAGTCACCACTAGTCACGTGTGAGCTAAGGAGATTGCGAGTGTGGCCCGGTCCCCTACACAGGTTTTAACCCACAAACGCCTTGTTCCTTTGGCCAACGGCCAGCAAGCGCGATTTTTGGTTGCTTTGATCGCCTCAAGAAAGACCTCTTGTGTTAACTAAGAGTAAAGTTAATATGCATATCGACGAATTTCCAGAGGGAATGCAAAAGAATAAAAAAGCGGAGTTCGAACTAACGCAGTCCATCCAGACAGTGAAGAGAACAGTCAACGTGAACCCATACTGATGGCTTATATCCAGCGTTCCAATCCAAGTGTGAAAGTCCCAACCATGTTGCAACAATGTTTGTGCAGCCAATTGGAATGACTTGATCACAACTGTAGAACACAATGAATGGCTACTCAGAAACAGATCTACTTTATAGCTTATTACACCTATATAAGGAAAAACATAGTGACTGATAAAATCCATCCTTGAGTTTGTCTTGCATCTTCCATCTACGAAGCTGTCAACACTCTTGCAATAATGGTGTCACCTCGAATCGTGACGAAAGGTCTGCGAGCTCAGGGAACACCACAACAACTGAACCATTACTTATTCCCACTTTTTAAGTACACCCAGTGCAACCTGGTGGAAAGGAGTCTTTCGCTGGTCCGTACCCACCTGCGAGTGATAATATCTCGTCACTTCTACAGACTCCAATAGCTCGAGCTCCAGTCACTTGCCACTGAGATATTCAGAATGTATGACGAACTGAAGTGGACATTATAGTTCAGATCAGGAAGCAGACAACTGTTATATAGGTGTGCCATTCCGAAGCAAACTTGCATACGTTTATAGGCGTAATCACCGGCGCCGAATGACCAGAATTGTCCCTGTTAGACAGATTCTGCTTAATCTTTCGGTTACACGTCACACACAGAGTTGATAACTAATTCCGCGACCAGTGTGGTCTGACTTTGATCCAGAATTAAATCGAAACCTAGACAAAGGGTAGATATTTTACTCGGTACCCGAAAGAGATCTTTGCTAGTGGAAATGATTTGGTCCCTATTGTGTGCAAGACCACAGTTTGCTTCTCAAAACGGGTAATTGTGGTTCGTCGCCCATCGCAGTGGGAAAACCTTGTAGACCTATTACACATCGATTCAAAAGAGTTATTTCGCAATCGACTGCAGCTTGAGGAGCATCCATACGAACACAACGCACTCTTTGACGAGGGCCGAAAACATTGAGGACGGGTTGCTGTGTTTAACAAGTGATGGATATTCGCAGTTGATGTAATGAAGCATGTATCAGAGAACAGCGCGATGGGAGCAAAATAGTACAAATCTCATAGGCTGCCAGATGGTGAAACAAGATCGGTGACATGTGACCGGTTGGAATGTCAGAAAAAATTAAAAGAAACTGCCGTTGTACGGGAGATATGGAATGTAAGCAATATCACGTTGAATTTGGCGATTCGCAGCTCACTAGCCTTTGGTTTTCTGTCACAGTCTAGATGTTGTCTTCGAAGTAGCCCTCAGGATTGTGTGCTCCTGTAGAGGACTGAGGAGACGGCTGACGGGGACTGTTTGATTTCATCCGGTGATGCATCCCGATCTTCCAAATCACATTTCCGAAGGTCACTAAAAAGGGAACGAATAAGCGATTTTAATCGCAGTTTTTCAACTACGCCGGACATATAATGGCCACAGTCAATAGGGAGGAATTAAACAGACATAACAACACGCCGGCTTTCGCGACTGAACAGAGTTTATATACACACTCGTTTCCGAACAACGTATATGTAGATCAGAAGCTTATTTACGCGATAACCATAAGGCTGGCATTTGTCCAAGTCGTTAACATGCAGACTTGCATCTTTGTTGAGAATTTGAGTTTGTAAAACAGGATAATTGACATCCATGCAAGTCGTCCATCTTCATACGGGATTACAGCCGTTGGCGACAGTAAGAAATTCTTCAGGGAGTCAGAAACATCGATTTACCTTAGGCGAGTCCACAACACGCATATAGGTGAAGGAAATTGGTCCAAAATGGCTGCGACACTGCTCAGTGTTTAGTATGAAACGAGGTAGATGGACAGCGCCAATTTAGAGTTGAAAAATGTCAAATGATTTAGACGACTTCACTGCACAATTCCATGTACTGGGAGCTGGTTAACTTGCATCGTATTTTTATTTGTTCGAATGTCCGATGGAGGCGGTTTCCAGTAGGCATGGTAAGCGAAGTATATACCGTTCAAGCAACTTCAATACTATTCATTGAGGGTGTTGTATAGGTCGGTCCAGTGAACACATTACTTGGTACGCAAGAAATGATGAACAGAATTCGTAGAGGCAATCAGTAAAGGTGGGTCGACAGAAATAACTCTAAATACACATAATCGGTTTACGGTTAGCTGTACAGAACCAGCGCAAAAGTTACGCAACATCGAGTTAGAGCAGTTCTTGTAGGTAAGCATTTGGGTAAGCAAATAAATTATGGTCGGCAGTGAACCAGTCAGTGGTGGACAATATATCGACAGCAAAAGTACGTAATGTCGATTCGCAAACTCGGTACCTCAATAAAACCGCAATGGTGAGAATAAACGAAAGCTATGGTCCGGTTTTACACTGTAGAATGATGTAAACAAACCAGTACAAAATTTCTGAGTTGAACATTCTGGAATTTTCGTGCACCGATAGCTGGGTAGATGGAGCGCGATAAATTGCAAATCTGCGATTGGTGAATTTCAATTAAGACCTACCGAGAAGCGTTGTTGTAGTATAGCAAGCTATTGGGCTTGCAACTTGCTATACAAGGCGGTTGTTAAAACGGGAAGCAGAATGGGATTCGGGAGACAACGATTCCTGCACTTTGTAAACCCGGCACGATTACAAGTGGGGCATGGATCCCTGCAAAAGTGATTTTTTGTACCGCTAAGTAGACTGCATCAACTGAATGAGTTTATGATGCTCTACTCTTAAGTAGTATAGAGAGGGAGCATATGAGTCAGATTACATTTTGATATTGTTCACGTCGATGAAAACGTGGACTCGGAATCGTCCGTGATGAGCGCAACATCGGGGCGACTGCCGAGTAGTAACTTTTATGTGCTAGGTTCCTCGTACGGTAAAGGAAATCGTCCCACCCGAAAGCGAGTGCTAGATGTCTCGGGCAACGGCTGACCCACACACGCACATAGATCGCTACAAACATGGCTTAGGTGGCAGGGGCTAAGCTGGTTAGATTCGCTAGTGAAGCCACATAAGGTTGTTCGCAACCTGATTCAACAGACAAACAGTCTAAATACATACCAATCGGGAAAGTTGCTTGTTTCTCAATCTGTTGTTTAGAGTCTTGGTTAAAAGTAGTTTCCCATTCACACTGGAGCAGTCAGCATGCAATAGTGGACCGCATCTTGAATGCATCTAACTGTCTCTCCCCACACGCGCTACGCCACTGTCGTCATCCTTGAAGGGTGTCCCACTGCGCGATCTGCAAACGTCCATTCCGTGTGAGCATTGCGATTCTTCGGTGTGGTGATGCTAACCTATATGGATGTATATTTCTCGACTGTGCAAGTTACAGTCGAAAACTTGGACTGATGATAAGTCATCAACATCATCATACACCTTAGCTAGAGGTGGGGAACACCTCAGCTACTGTGCCGTAGACTGATGATAAGGCACAACATGATCTCAAAGTACACAAGTTATTTCAGATTTTCCTAAAGAGTTCAAAATTAGGTATGTGGGGAGTTCACTTGGTATAAATGGTAAAATGAAGGAGAGTTCAAAACAGGATGAAAGTGGTTAGTGAGAAAAACACAATAGAATTAATACGGCTAACCGTGGAACTCACTCCTGAAATATCTTATACTCGATAACAGAATATCGTCTGGGCATCAGTTCACAGTCAGGCTATTTCTGTTGACTGATGCCGAGGATGCATATGATCTCATTGATTCCATCTGGCCCCTGCGGGGCCAAAACCTGCCACCCGACAGTTACCAGTCCGTGGTGATGACCGCTGGGCTACGGGGGACGGGAACTACCATTGTGACTGAGTTAGTATACATTTTCTCAGTCTCTGGTATACATTGTGATTTCAAATTCCTCCTTAAGGAAACCACGTGTCTTCATAAGTCTCTCAAGATGGTCCTTATGTAGCGAGAACGACACGGTAGGGGAGAACGCTGTTTATTGCACGCTGAGAGGTTCACACACATGTCCCACGCACACACACAAATATAGCCGCGTTTCCCACTTACGACGCACCACGTTCCGCCGAGTGAAGTGGTGTCCACTAAGCGCCATTAGGCTGATCCGACGTGGACATTGAATGTGCCGTTTTCCGCCCACATTTCTGCTCCCTTGCGTCGCAGCCTATCCAGACTGGATTCGTACCAAAGCTCTCGACTTGCTTGCTCGGGGCTGTGTTGCTCTGGTCGGGCCGATTCCTGGGGCCGTAGATAAAGGCATATCTCTTGGGAAAATCGGGCTCCCTTTCATGTCGCCTCTTGTTCTTCTCGGCGTGGCCGCGGTATCGTTTGTCGCTGACGACCCATTCCCGGCTTGCATCGTAGGCCACGAGCTGGGTTGACGATTCCCGTTCCCAGTCTCCGCGTTAGTCCCGATCTCCTGCTGCTTCCGGGGCATTTCCGTGTGAACTGAGATCCGCGCCCCTACACCCGCCCCCTCTCGAAAACCTGTTTCCCTCGTATACCATGGGCGTAGAAGAGATGCGTTTACCCAGCGTTTCACCACCCCGTTGTCGATACGGCAGCTCGTCCCTTTTCGGTCGATCACTGTATAGGGACCTTTCCAGCGTTGGTTGAACTTGCTCGCGCCGGGTCCTTTGTGTGACGGTGGATCGTTATTGCGTAGCTTGACTTGGTCTCCTAGGTTGAATGGTCTCCATTTGTCTGCCGCATATCTCGCATCATAGTTCCGCTTGTTGCGTAATTGCCGAGCCCTCGTTTCCCTTCTGGCGGTTGTTGTCAGCCTTCGGTGTTGTAGGGCTGGATGTTCGCGCTCGCAGTCGATTGCCAAATAGGTGTCGATTGCAATCCTTGGTTCTCTGCCAAATTGCAATGCAAACGGTGAAACCTTGGTGCTTGATTGCATGCTGGTTCGATAAGCGAGCAGCACCTCCGGTAACGCTTCCTCCCACGGTAACTTTGTGCAGTTCATCCATGTTTTCAGAGTTCGGTTAAACCGTTCTGTCATCCCGTTGGTCTGCGGGTGGTAAGGCGAAGTGCGTTTTCTCCGGATGCCCCATTTGGCCAGCATGGCCTGAAACGCTTTTGATTCAAAGCACGGACCTTGGTCGGTGATAACGCTGTGCGGTATTCCATACCTCGCCGGTACGTTGAATTCGAACGCCTGTGCCACGGTCTCGCCTGTTTGATCTTTAATTGGTATCGCTTCGACCCAACGAGTGAAATGATCAATCATCACCAGGATGTAGGCGTTACCCGATCGGCTCCGCGGCAGCGGTCCAAATATGTCTAGTCCCCAGCAATGTAGTGCCTCGCTGATTTCAATCGACTTCATTGGCGGTCTGGGTGCATCCATCTCACGGCTTGTTTGACAGTTTGGGCACCCCCGGATATATGCCGCAACGTCCCTTCTCATGGTTGGCCAGAAGACTCGTCTCCGCAGCAAGTCAAAAACTCTCTCAAATCCCATGTGTGCGCTGTCATGGACCATTTGAATCACCCGCTCCCGTTGACTTTGTGGGATAAAAGGAAGTCTCATTCCGTTTGTCTGCACCAGCAAATTACCGTTTACTGTGCACAGCCTGTCCCAGATCCTGACGAGATCCTCCATTTCCCCCGATGTGGCATCCGGTTTGGTACCCAATTGTAAATGGCTACACAGCGACTGCACCAGTTTATCCTTCCTTTGAATTTCGAGTAGCGTGTCCCTCCCAACTGTGACTGCACACACCGGTATAGCAGTGTCCGGTATGACGTCGTCCAACAACGGCCGCGACAGCATATCAGGTAGCACATTCTTCGTCCCATCCACGTGTCCGATGGTGAAGGTAAATTCTTGGAGTCGATATGCCCATCGTGCAAGACGTCCTCGCGGATCCTTCGTTGTCATCAACCATGAGAGCGGTTTGTGGTCCGTCAAGACGTGGAATTCATTCGCCAACAGGTATGTCCTCCACTTCTCCAGGGCCCATACCATAGCTAGACATTCCTTCTCTGTCGTTGAGTACTTCTGCTCGGCACTCGTCAGCACTCGACTGGCATATTCTACGACCCCCGATGGCTGGGAAAGTACCGCACCGATTGCGACGTCGCTAGCATCAACTGCCACCGTAAATTTTTCACTCGGATTGGGTAACCGCAAGCACTTTGGAGATTCCGCCACGCATGTTTTGATGTGATTGAATGCTTCCTCTGCCTCGGTTGACCACACGAATGGTTGATCCTTCTGCAGCAACTTCAATAATGGACTGATGGTCTCTGCAAAGTGAGGGACGAATTTTGAATCATATGCCACAACTCCCAGGAAGGAACGAAGCTGGCGTTTGGATTTAGGGGCTGGAAAATTCTGGATCGTTTCCCGTTTCTCTGGCAGCGGCTGTATTTCACCGTTCCCCACGATGTGACCCAAGCACACGATCGACCTCTGGGCTATCTGTGATTTCTTACGGCTAAGCTTCAAACCGGCTTCCTCCAGTCGTTGTAGTACGGCCGCGAGTCTGCTACAATGCTCATGTTCGGTCTCGGAGAATATCACGATGTCGTCTCCGTAAACTACCACTCCTTGGAGGTTTTCCAAAATCATTAGCAGCAGTCGTCTGAATGTGGCGGGGGCATTGCACAACCCAAATGGCATTCTCAAAAATTCGTACTGCTGACCGTTTACACTAAAAGCTGTTTTGTGACGATCCTCCTCTGCAATGGGCAACTGCCAATATCCCGAGCGGAGGTCTATTAACGAGATCAGCTTGGCGTTGTGCAGACTGGAAAAAATTTCCTCCATCTGTGGCATCGGAAACGCATCCTTCACGGTTACTTTGTTCAGCTCTCTGAAATCAATGCAGAATCGGTATGTACCGTCAGCTTTCCTTGTCAACAACACTGGCGACGAATACGGGCTGCTCGCGCGCCTAATAATGCCTTTTGCCTCCATCTCTGCTACTTGCCTCTGCACCTCAGGTAGGATCTTTGGCGGAATTCTCCTGAATATTGGCTTACATCGTCCCCCTGGGACCAGCGGTATCCGATGTTCCATCCAGTTACAGAAGCCGTATTCGTCATTCGCGTCCGTGAACAAGTGCGCGTACCTCTCTAGCTTTTCCCGTATTGTACGACTTGAGCAATCAGGCAGAACAGATACGGCCCCAACTCGACCACTTTTTCCTGCGTTAAGGTTGATTGCTTCGCCGCCCAGGAAAATCACATCCTTTCCCAGATCAATTCTAGCGCCCAGTCGTTTTAGGATATCATTACCGATTATTGTTTCCGTTTCACCCTCCACAACGAACATTAAATGGCTAATACACGTCTCTCCTATTCTCAATTGTAACCGTTGCACGCCTGCTACCTTCAACTGATGGCCTCCGACCGTTTGCAACGAGACTGACGATTGGTCTAAGGGAACCGCATCACATCTTTTTGTAATTGACGCCCCCGCCCCTGTATCTACTACCGCTCGAACTGGCACCCCCTGAATTATGACGTCTACCACAGGCACCCTCCACTTATTAGGAATGAATAAGGAAAAACAATGAGAAAGGCTTGCGTTCGTGCAGTATCTAGCCAGATGGCCACTGCGGTTGCACCGAAAACAGCGACGGCCATTTCGGCTTCCGTAGACATTGCGTTGCGTTTCCATCCTTGGTGTATTTCCCGACAATAAATTCTGCACCATCTGTGTCAGTTGGTCCACCTTGCGTTCAAGTTCCGACGGCTTGATTCTGGCCATGGTCAACGGCTCCGCCAAACTCTGCGCCACTGTCACAAGCTCCTCCGCCTTGACCACTCCGACCATCGATGCCAGCTTCACTTGATCCTGGAGGGCTTTCGGCAGGCTCTGAATCAATTGTCCTTTCAATAGTCTTTCTTTGGCGGCCGCATCTAATTCGGGTAGCCCAATCGTCAAGTTCCTATCCAGTTGCTGGAAAAATGTCATCAAATCGTCCTGTTCTTCCCATTTTGCTGAGTGAAATTTTTCCAGTGCCTTCTGTCGGTCCATCTCCTTTGCAAACTCCGCGCACAACGCTGCCTTTACTTCGTTAAACGAGCACCCAGCTTTCGACTTCCGCGTCAGCAGGTACGTCGCTTTTGCTCTTCCGGATAACAGCGTGCCCAAGGCCGTAAGCAGGTTTGCATCCCCTTTGAGTCCGTTGCAAGCCGCGATTCCTTCGAACTCATCCAACCAAGCCTCCGCGTCTCCCTCCGAAAATTGAGCAGGCCACGGCACTTTCATCCTGGTCACGGCACCAGTGTAGCGAGAACGACACGGTAGGGGAGAACGCTGTTTATTGCACGCTGAGAGGTTCACACACATGTCCCACGCACACACACAAATATAGCCGCGTTTCCCACTTACGACGCACCACGTTCCGCCGAGTGAAGTGGTGTCCACTAAGCGCCATTAGGCTGATCCGACGTGGACATTGAATGTGCCGTTTTCCGCCCACATTTCTGCTCCCTTGCGTCGCAGCCTATCCAGACTGGATTCGTACCAAAGCTCTCGACTTGCTTGCTCGGGGCTGTGTTGCTCTGGTCGGGCCGATTCCTGGGGCCGTAGATAAAGGCATATCTCTTGGGAAAATCGGGCTCCCTTTCATGTCGCCTCTTGTTCTTCTCGGCGTGGCCGCGGTATCGTTTGTCGCTGACGACCCATTCCCGGCTTGCATCGTAGGCCACGAGCTGGGTTGACGATTCCCGTTCCCAGTCTCCGCGTTAGTCCCGATCTCCTGCTGCTTCCGGGGCATTTCCGTGTGAACTGAGATCCGCGCCCCTACACTTAAAGCTTGCAAATTGCATCCAAGAGGCGCAAAAGTCCCTAAAATTGCGAACTGTTCGTTGACTGACCAAGCTCAAATAAACCGATAACAACAAATTACCGCGCAGGGTGGGATGCTATTGGTTGATCTGGGACTGATCACTCAATGAACAGTGGATTTTAGTGGCGTTTGCGCACGTTGGATACAATTTGATAGGGTTAAGGACCACCTTGAGAGATGTTTGGGGGACCAGGATTTCCTTAAGGAGGACTCTGAAAGCCGTATGGAAGCAGTCAACTGAGAAAAGTATATATGCGATATAGAACTGCTCGCTATCCACTGACGCACTTTACTAAGTACAGTGGTCTTACCAGACTTAAACCGCCAATTAAGTTATGGCATTATAAGTAGTTTGAACTGGTTACCAGGGCGTGGTGGTGGATTTGAATCGCACAAGTAGAATCTCGTTACATCTAGATTCACACAGCTATCACACACACGGAAAAGCAATGTACGACCATTACTTCCTTTCGGAATCCTTCTGCAGTGTGCGTTCCATCTGGGTCCTGTGGGGCTAGAACCCCCGGTCGGCTGTTGCCAGCCCGTGGTTAAGACCACTGGGTTACGGGGACGGTAATGGCCGACAGAAAGGATGAAACGGCCGTACGGTGAATTCTCGAGCGTATAACGACTGCATGACAGTCTAAGTACGACAAAATACTCATACCATTCAACTCCACCTCCTACCCCTTGTAGTCGCGACAAGTTAGCAGGAAACATTTGCCAAGTCAGAAGGAATGTTAAATATTCTGTTGGTATGCAATTGGTGTGGAGTTTGTTCGCACAAGTGGCTGTTCCCAGCGTAAAAAAGCAAACACCTTGCAAAACACTCAAGACACAAAGGAAGGTGTGCGTAATTGACTAGTGTCACATGGTAGTCAAAAGCAGATACAATTTTTGCCAGCGAGCAGCTCGGTAAAGGAGTCAAACTGCCGCACAAAAATGTGAATAAATGGTTACCACAGCACATTCAAGCACTCACTCAGGTTGAGTAAATTTCCAGTTGTGCCACATGAAGTGGTAATCGGGAATATCACTTTCTGGAACAGCGGACCCCTGGATTAAGTGACTTGTAGCTGGCGAATGAAACCAGATTGAACTTAGCGGTAGGTCATTTGGCTGTAACAGATCGATCAGGTCGTCGAAATGGGCCACGAAGGTGTTAGGCAAACCGGCCTCCATTCGCCATGAACATGCAGTAGCCGGTATGGATAAGTACTTGTGAGCAAATTTGGCCAACGTTGGAAGTTCCTCAGCGTGTGTGGACCACCAGCGAGTGGGATCCTCGTGGAATTCCGTGGGCATCCTCGTATTCCATTTTTCCAATTCGGACAAAACGTTGTCAGGGATCATCGACAGAGGCATCCACTGTGTTTCCGCCCCACAACCTGTGACTGTACTGAGTTGTCTCACAAGAGGGCAAGGGCCAGCCTTAGGGAGAAAAGAAAGTATGTCGAACAACGACTTGTTTAGCTGTGAGAAGCAATCGATGATCTCCGTTCATGTGTAATTGCATAAAATCTAAGTCCCAGTGGAGCTGGCAAACAAAAACACCGGGGTTCACTACAAAACTGAAACACGATTTAAATTAGGATTTCATGTCGTAGTCGATTCACCTAACCACCACACCATACAAACCAATAAGAAATGCTCCACGTAATATCTCTGACGTTGCCAGTTTATGTATACAATGAGCTCAGGAAGTCATGCACTAACCCCCTTGACAGTCTCGCGCTATGTGTTTACACTAATAAAGCTCATTACCCACATGGGTAAAGTCAATTGTTTTAGCTTAAATATCGTACAGAATTGAAATCATCAAAAAGATGCAGTGATCCACGGCAGTGTTTCACCAGTCTGTATTTTACATGGACATTAAAAAGGACTTTTTATAAAGTTCCTGGTGTGAAACGCCTTCAGCTGACATTTAGGTATAGAACAGCTTATTGCACCAAAGTTTCTTCGAGTTAACGAGATCACTACACTTTGTTTTAATGAACGATTTCTTAAATTTTGCATATGAGAGAAGTTTCTGTTTTCTGTCGTAATTTCTAACTTTTGGATATGCGAGTCCAGCACATATGCTTAGTAAGTGGTATGCAGCCACATGTACACACACATTTCATGTTGGGAGCCGTTCATTCATCAGAAACTTCTGATTTTATCATTTTTCGCTCATCGCAACAGAGTACTTATTTGGTTCCACAAACTAAGTCCTGTTCGCTTATTTTTGTGAATACTGAGCCATTCTAAATGTAGAAATTCCGTAAAATATCATAAATAATTGTTTATTGCAAGAAATGGGCATCAAACTTTCGTATAAAGGGAAATATTCTTTTCTCGTCTATAGTTTTAATTTGAATTTGCGCGCTATAGACTGGTGGAACGCTACCTGATTGATTGTTGGATGTTCGAAGTACCCGCAGTGTGTTTATACTGCGATAGGTCATCACAAACGGGGCCACGGTTTACTTAGAAGGGAATCACAGGCATTTCAAACGCCGGGGCGGCCTCTGAAGTGCAGAGTTTCGGTGTTGATTTCTTCCATCACAGCACTCCATGACGGACGATTTCGTGCTGATTTGAACTTTTTAGTTATATATACCCTGAGCTCAGAGTGGATTCTGACATGGTGGTTGACGGCTTGCGCCAAGATCATTAGGCCACTGAGCCCCTGTCGGGCAATATTTGACACAGCAGTCAAAAGTTGAGTATCGGGTTTTGGAGCCGTGGTGGACTTCCATTTCCCACTGTTGAGTCTATATGCGTTTCATAATGCCTTTGTGAATGATATACAGACCGTCACATAAAAGTTATATACTGAGCGTTTAGAAGATGGCTGAAACGACGAGTTGACTGAATCAGACATTCGAAAACCAGCACTATACGGGGTTATCACTCCTTTTATTTTGTCCTAAAACATCAGTTCACAGGTGGTTTGATGGTATAGTATGTTGTTCAGCGTCCCACCCAATGAGCACCGGTAAGAACTGATAACAAAGAAATGCTGTTTCAATATGGAATTAGTAGAGTTCATGCAAGTTTTGAGAAAAACAAAAGCCACGCGTGGATCCACTTAACCCTACATGCCCTGTGGCGGGTGTACTGTGGGATGAGATGGTGTAAGGTAGAGGAGGCTCCTCAGTAGCTGGCTTAGTCACTGTTCTACTCCCTGTGAGAAGCTGAACATTAATCTTCAGACGGGCAATTATCAGCCGTTATCATTAGATTATAAAAAGAACAACAGGATGTTGTTTTCCGCTCATTCGATCGTGCTAACTGATGGCCCTAACCAGTTGATGAAGGATATGCCACGGAAACTCATCTTCGTTCCGAGATTCGCATATCATGACTCCCGAATTCGCGTACAGATCAGACCCCATTTCTCCCCATAAGTCCTATGGATTGTGACGTACAAAGCCAGTTGGATTTTGCCCCAAGTATTCAATCACAATTTTCTGCAGATTCGGCAAAGGTAAATTAACGGACCGTCCGCCACTTATGGTACATAGCGAACTATGAAGTAGATTTGGCACCAAGCAGAAATAGCACGCGGATAGGGTTACTTTTTGTTAACTGGATGTACGCTTCATTCGATCTGTGTCCAACAGAATCGACACGAGGATGATTGAATGACCGGCGTTTGTCACTAGAAACCAAGTAGCTGATGAGCGAAAGGAAGCGACCGCAGCGGTTCAAGTAAAAAAAATGTAAACAGCGCTGTCAGAATCCGGTCGGGTTGAACCAACTAGTCAAGCGACCGGTGCAACCGGAGAGTCGCCACAGCGCAACTTCACCACAATTGTGAGTTCAATCATCGGTTTATTAATTTCGGCTTTTTCTGTTGTACATAAACTAAGCATCCTATGCTCTTTATACCAGACGTACCAGTGACTTTTAACCGGAAACCTTCAAAATAGTAGTCGTAACCTTGATCGTGTTGTGCTCAACTTGAGCATAGAGAACATGTTAAAACTTGACTAATTGGAACAATACTCAATCACGGTTGAAGATACCTAATTGAGGCCATTTGAATCTAATTCGTCGGACGACCATGCTGACACGAATGAGCAGTCCCCCCTTCGCTTGAGCTACCGGGCCAACAGCAGACCAATACGACCTCAATCTGACCTCGTATAATTACAACAGTTAAATTCGAGGTAGAGATTGAGGCAAGTTATTGTTTTACGCATACATTTATAAGAGCGCTGGAGTACCCCAAGTTGCGGAGAGTGTCACTAAGTGGAACTTGTGCGCGGACATCTGCATCATCCAGGTGTGACTGAAACATCCGGCGTGACCACGTAGTGACCGCCTACGCAACCTACTATAGTTGTGAGCAACAAAGACCTTTGAGTGTTTTAATTCACTATGTGAAATAATGGTTTAGGCTGCAACACTGAGAACGGAAAGAACAGCCTGATTACGAAGCCAATTACGTTCTTTCCACTTGGCGAGATCTTGTGCTTCCGATAGAGTCGAACAAATCTCACAAATGTCAAGTGAGTAGCTTCTGTCTCGACAATTGTTGTCGTTCAGCCACCGCTTTGCTTACATCTGCCCATGTCCAGTATAGGTCGCAGGGGTGAATTTTCCATTTGTTATTTAATAGTTTACAGCAGCTCGGAATCATGGTGTCTCTCAGATTAACTCTCTCGAAGGACACAGAATAGATCCTATCAATCTTCTCCAGGTATCTAACAAACTGGCAAAGGAAGTGACAGAAAATTAACCATTAAAATGGGAAGTCAGGTGGACCAGATAGGTCAAGTAGAGGAAACTGGGTGATTGGATGACTTTAAAAAAAGCTCGCCCCTAAGGTGTGACGATTCAGACAGTATATGGGTTACTAATTATACACAAAAATATGGGGGCGGTTCCACCTGTCTTCCGCGGCCATTTCCGCTCTCATTGCAAAACTGCACACACCTGACTATTGCCCATTATTCACAGAACCGATGCTTCAAAATAAACCCATAGTGGGAAATTAGTTGGCATGAAAAATGTTACGGATTTTTGGGTGGTGCACGAACAAAAGCTTTAAGTAGTTAGCGATGTGTCTCGGGTTCCGTTCCTAGGTCCGATATCCTGCGCTGTTGCCTTGTCACTCATGTCCTGGAACCTGAGGTGGTCGAACTGCAGTGCGGTTTCCGCATGGATTACAGTAAAATCAATGTGATATTCGCTGCTGGTCAACTGCCAAACAATATGCCCGCTTTTCCTTTACAAATTTCAGAATAGCATGAAGTAGCAGTATTTCAACAGTATATACTGAATTCAGAGGACAAGAAATATCTGGATTTAGTATATACTGTTGAAATGCTGCTTCTTCTTGCTATTCTGAAATATGCCCGCTGCTCGTCAACCTCATCAAAACATAGGGCACATAGAATAGCTGGGTGGTGTGCCTAATGTTGGGGGAGGTTAAATATCCTGGTGAAGAATTGGTATGCGAGGGAGGATGCAGCTGTGTAGTTAAACCTCGGATGACTCTGATGTTGTTTCTAGAGTGAAGCAGGACGGTGTCCCAACCCATACTCTGTTTGCTAGTTATCATACTGCCATAATGTCTTGTGCTTTCCATACTTGGGAATATGATGTTCGTCTCGAGTGCCACATCAATGGTAGGTTGCTGAAAATCCATCGTTTCGGGAGAGAATCCTAGTGCGTGCGACAAGCATCAGGATGCTGCTGCCTGCGGGCAACTGCGGGTCGCTTGAACACAATGAGGACGAGTTACAACGTATGACGATGACTGTCGATTTGACGGCTGCCAAGTTTGGACTCATCATCAACACAGGCAAAACTGCCTGTCTTGTTCAGCCATCACCAGGAATGGAGCCCATACGCTTCCCGCAAATCAAATTGCTAAAGAAGTTTTACAAAACGCACAAGATTTTGGATAGCTAATGAGTAGTGGGGTTCTTGGCATAATTCAGAGATAATTCATCACAGTCCCCTCTCAGTCAGCAGGCTTTGTCAAGTCTGGAAAGGCCACAGACATTGCTGTTTCGACCTTTATGGGCTCGGTCAGTGGTGCGCCTTGCAACGGACCCCTGTCGATTTCCGACCCCATGACTTCCGGATGCACTTAGCAAGTGCAGCAGACCTGCATAATTGACAGTTGACTATGATATAGCCCAGTTCACCTTCTACTGCAATGACAGTTACGAACTGTGCAGAGAACAGCGGTTGGCCCCAGGATCTCGGACTTTCCGCCTAGTGCCTGTGTACGACACGGGACAGAAGCTACACGGATGGATGGGTTTTAGAGTACTAGTGAGTAGTGGGGGGGGGTTGGTATGATTCGGAGATTATTCACCACAGCCACTCTCAGTCAGCAGGCATTGGCAATTCTGGAAAAGCACCAGACAGCGCTGTTTCGAATTTCTCGGTTCGTCAGTAGTGCGCCTTCCATCGGACTACTGCCG